TGATCATAGATGCACTTGGCTATAACATAATTTAGCGAAGGGAGTGTGGCTGTATAGAAGATATGAGAAAACCATAGTTTAGATGACAATAGATCCACTTGGCTATAACATGGTTTAGCGAAGGGAGTGTGGCTGTATAAAAGCTATAAAAAAATCCATAGTACAAATGACAATAAATACACTTTGCTTTAACATGGTTGCTAGGTGACGTTGTTATAGCAAAGTACCGAGATTGACAGAACTGTATCTACATATTAATAGGTCTAAGTAGAGAAACATTCCGACTACTCATACCCCCAAGCGTGGTGCAACACCGCCGATCTACTAAGTAAGGTTTTGGATCAGTGTCCCATTTTTGCCTTATGTGTACCGGAGAGGGCTCGGGTGCACCTAAAAACTGGACAGACAGTTGGCTTGAACATGAGCACTAACAACAGCTACTCATAAACCAGCATGTGCGACCACGCGTGTCTGCCTGCAATGGACACAGCACGGTGGTGTGCAAACCCTAAAACCCTTAAACCCTTCTGAATGAATCAGTGGTTTACATATATATATATATATATATATATATATATATATATATATATATATATATATATATATATATATATATATATGCGATGCAAACATACGTACGCACGACATACACACGTACATATATACACACGACGATAAAGCCGTAGAGACGGGTAGATAAACTATGCACATCGTTCAAGGATTGTACTGTGTGCATTGGCCAAGAAAAGTCCCGAGTCATGTATAACACCCATTCATTTTACCTACCAGCCACTTCTGGGAAGGGCGACCCCCGGTGTTTTTTCCAGAAAAAAGTCGTTTTCAGGGTCGACATCATAGGTTTTGGGTTTCTGTGCTTGTCCCTGTTCGTCTTTTTTCTAGGAATCAGGAATGGGTTCGATTCGGTTACTTAAACCCTAAAAATACAGCAAGCTAGTTCCAAGTGACCGAATGAGACATTCGAATACTGGACCTCAGGGAAATCTATGTACCAACTTTAAATAGTTAACGTTGTGGATCCACCCTGTATATACTATTTATGTACTAACTTTAAATAGTTAACGTTGTGGATCCACCCTGTATATACCATTTATGTACTAACTTTAAATAGTTAACGTTGTGGATCCACCCTATCTATACCATGTCCGTAGGGTGTGTTCTCGGCATGTAATTGTTGGCATCTTAGTCTGGTTGCAGATAGTTTCAGCAGCCAAACGTTGAGAGGCTATAGACTGGCTTTGTAATACCTAATAAATACGCATTGGACTTCAAAGGAATCTACCTACCTGGACCACTCTCGCTTACAGGGGAGTAAAAGAAGAAAGGAGTGGCTGATATTTGATCAAGTGCGCGCACCCTACTCAATCTAAAATGAGTCACACCCTTAGACGTCAATAGGATTCTGCCTACCGTATGGAGGCGAAACCCAGCAACCCAGAGCGGGTTGGCTCATAAGCCAATGAAAACACGCCGCTTCATTCTCACACATTCCCTGATCTATAAATAAATCGGTACCTGCCTGCATTCTAACCGGTCTGGAGGCGGGCCCCAGCAAGCCGAAAAAGCTGATTCGTCAATTGATACACACTGACACAAATCCACTACCATACATGGACTGATCTATAAATAGAAATCTATAAATAGAGATCTACCTACCTGTACTACCACCCGGTTGGAGGTGAGTCCTAGCAGATCAGAGATGAGTGGTTGGTACGTCCACGTGTGGTGCAGAAGACTGGGCAGATCCAAATTGCGGTCCAAAATGATAAGCACTGTGGTGCATAGAGGGGAAGAAGGGGTTTTGGGACAAATTTCTCTATAATTGGTATCTCACTTCGCGCGGGCGGAGTGACCGCTGTGGGACGTGAAATCAGTAGAAACCCCCATATTAATCACAACACACCAATTATAATAGTATTAATAATACAGATGTACAGTATCATAGTAGACAAATAACGAGAAGTTGTATTCCGACGACAGACATATAGATACTAGGGGGTCAAGGCTTGCGCAGAGGACCATAGAGAAAGTACCAGCACCGCAAAAGGACATACTAAAGCCCAACTATCCCTAATAATCATTATCTCGACCCTAGAAAGTAACAAAATAAGACCGTGATCCTATCTAATGAGACAGACACAAGTGGAGGTAGAAGTTATATCAATCCACCCGAAATTAGTACGAGTCCAAAGTGGGTTCTGATTAGACAGTATGTAGATATATGTGTGTATATGTATACAGATATACGGTTATACAGATACAAATAAACAAGTCAGCCCGTATATGTTTATCTACAGCCTATAGAGTGGTTATGTAATTCTACTACAAACACACACACACACACACACACAGATTGCATTCCGTACACACCCTCCCGCACTTACCTGGTCTTTGGAAGGACATGCTGTTACTGGCTGCCTCGGCAAAGAGATTGTTTCGCGTGTTTTTCAGGTAATCTCTTAACTTGGAATCTAGACGCTGCGCCACCATTTCAGAAGCATTGCCCTTCTGACTATTGTGGGAAATGGATATATGAGGGCTTATGTATCAATCTGTTGTATGTTTGATACGATTAGCGTATTGCCGCGTTTATGTATATATATACATATATATATATAATAATATAATAATATAATAATATAATAATATAATAATATAATAATATATATATAATAATATATATATAATATATATATAACATATATATATATATATATAT